CTTATTAGGCGCCGCGAAGTAAGCGGGCATTGGCTAGTTGTTAATAAAATTGCTTAAAAATTTTCTTACTCGGGTAAATAGAAAGGATTCGATGAACCACAAATCTGGCTTGTATTACGAGATACTCACTTTGATACCACAACGAATTTCTTCTAAAATACCGGGCTTTTTTTTTAGTGCGCTGGCAAAAACCGGGGCGCATATATTTTCAGACCTCTGTGGACATTTCGAGGTTATGTCGAAATTAGGCATGATGAAGTAAAATATATTTCGAACATATCAGGAAAAAAAAACTGACACCTAAGCATCGTATTTCCGTGCAGTTGAAAAGATTTTTTCGATAATTTGAAAACATATAAGGGCTATTCGCGATCCGGTGCAAATGGCCTAGCATCATTGCATTGCAAATTTGTATTGCAAATTATTTGCAATACACAAACAAAATACACGCATTTGCATTTGTCATGGCTTAGCAAATTTGCAATACCGAAAATCCATAGCATAAAAATGCTATGCATTGCATTCATAAACAAAACCAAAGATGATGCACAAAAATTGTTTTGCAAAAGCTTTACCATGACAGTTTAATAAAGGTCGCTCACAATCCATGGCATATTTCTGCAATTCCATAAATTTGTCAGCTCTTATGCACCGAATCGCGAATAGCCCTATAGTAAACTTGTCCTCGGGCTATGTAATCCTACAATAAAAAGTAGTAAAAGCTTAAAAATGTTGATGGTATATTTTCATGCCACAAACGTGCAATATAATCTAAATGAATTTTCCAACCAATTCATTTAATTTAAAATTCTTCACATTTCATTTCAGCAACTGAACAGCCAGAACCCCTACAGCAATTGGTCCATAACATATCCGATGAACACAACAAAACCCGGGGATTATCGGGCAACCGTTAAGGTTGACAAAAACTATGTTTTCTGGATAAATATAGCCACCAATCATGTGGATTTCAAACTGGACGAATCGCTGGGCGGCGAACTGCGGCTACTGCAAAACGCTACCAAGCGCAAAAACAATTTTGTATCCATAGCGAAGCCAGTCAACCACACGGTGCAATTACGGCCAAACGATGCAAAATTTCTCGCCGATAAGGCCTATGAAGTGCAAACGTATTGGTTCCGAAATTGCACTTATATAGGCGTGGTTAACGGACTGAATTATGTGGCGCAGTACACTGAACCGGAGGAGAGTTATAAAATTGAGGCATTGGTGCGTTTAATTTAATAGTATTTATTAAACATGTTTTTCTTAAATTTTCTAATGCATTTGCTCTTTTTACTTGCTAGGTAGTGGCAACTTTTGAAAAACCGCCTGAACCAACAACTACCACAACAACCACTACGACTACGACGACTACCACAACAACTACACCAAAACCTACAACGACAACACCTACAACAACCACTAGCAGCAGCACCACCACTACATTGAAGCCCAACAGCAGTACAACAACACCCAAAGTGCCACCGGCAAACTCAAATTCAACAGCAACAACTCCGACGTCTACGCATCGTCGTCGACGCGGTGCAGCTGCGCCAATACCATTAACGTCGCTTGTTGCAAATAAACCATTAGCGACCAATCCAACAGTGCAGCATACTGCAGCCGCACCACTTAATGCGAGTATTCAGGTGAATGGATCCACCATTGCCACAAATAACACATCAGCGTCTAAAAAGATTGCATTGCCCATACTTATGTCACCACTGTCGATGGACGAAGAACCGCCCTATAATTGTGCCACTGAGCAGTTTTTACAGAGAGATCCTA